ACTGGGGGGAGGGGAACTGGGGATATAACTCAGTTGGTGGATCACTTGCCTAGTATGTGTGAGGCTGTGGGTTCCAGCCCTAGCACCAAATAAACAGGGCACAATAGCGCACACTTGTAATCCCAGCACTCAGGAGATGAAGGCAGAAAAGCCAAAATTTGAAGGTCATTCTCTGCTACATAGTGAATTCAAGGCCAGCTTGGAATAAATGAGATTCTGTCTCAACAAAACCCAAAACTTGAGAATGTTGAAGTGCAGGCCTGCCTTGTGCCTCAGAGTCCTGAGAGGGTGTTAGTTGCAGGGGCTGAGCTATAGCCAAGAGCCATGGTGGGGTCTCTGATTCATAGGCACCTCCACACTGGTCAATATTGCTGGAATAAGCCAGTTACACCAGCAACGCTGAAGGAGCTTTTGTGAGCACCCCCAGCTACAGGAGAGGATGTGGGGTAACAGCTAGGTCGGGGGCCCTAGAAGTGCCCCAACTTATGATGGTTAATATTTTTATTTTACATTTATTTATTGTGTGTGCGCGGTGGGAGTGAAGTCCATGTGTGCATGTGTGAGGGTCAGAGAACAATTTATGGGAGTTGTTTCTCTCCTGTGCAGGTCTAACCCACTGAGTCATCTTGCTGGCTCGGTAGTTAATATCTATTGTCAACTTGGCAGGATCTATAGTCAAGGGAGACAAACTCTTGTACCTGTCTATGAGGGAACTTTCTGGATTGAGTTAGTTTAGATGGAGAACCCACTCTAATGTGAGGTGCACCTTCCTATCGGACTGAAAAATAAGTGAGCGGCACACGCCTTTAATCCCAGCACTTGGGAGGCAGAGGCAGGCAGATCTATGTGATTTTGAGACCAGCTGGGTCTACAGAGCAAGTTCTTGGACAGGGCTACATAGAGAAACCCTGTCTGGGAGTGGCAGGGGACTATGGGGGTAGGGTGGGGAGTGGAGTGAGCTGAGCACCAACATCCATCTCTCTCTGCTTCTAACTGTGGATGCCCTGTGACCAGCTGCCCCACACTCCAGCTGCCACGCCTTCCTCATGGTGATGGACTGTGCATCCTTAGACTGTGAGCCACAATCTACCTTTTCTGCCTCGTGTTGCTTTTGTTAAATATTTTGTCGCAGGAATGAGAAAAGCATTAAAACCTGACTTCTTCCCCAAACCCAGTGCTAGACCAGGTCTTTATCAATTGTGCAGGGAGGCGGTGTCCCCTTAAATACAGCACTAAAGAAAACTACCTCATTTGCAGCAAGCCTCTGCCTTTTGTGGGTCCCCCGTATGAGTGACATTTTCCTTACAACTACTGTCCACAGAGTGTGGACCTCATCTAGCTTTAACCTTGTCAGTCTTCCTCACAGTCACCCAGAGAGATGATTGATGGGTAAAGTGATCTAGAGTCTATTTGCTTCAGAATAATCCAGGGGATGAGGGGTGAGTGGCTGGTAGTAAGCCAAGTAGAAGATCCCCAGGTTGTAGCTGCAAGAAGAAGCCCTCAACCATCACACTTTTTTTTTTTTAAGTTTATTTGTTTTGAGGTAAGATCCCATGTAGCCCATGCTGGCCTTTTGAGGGCCCTAGGGAGCTGAGGATGGCTCTGAAGATCAAGAGATCCTCCCGCCTCTACTTCAAGATAAGCCACTAGGTACCACTTCATTTCCGGCTTTTGAAAGTGAAGTTGTAATGTGCTGGGCTATAGCACAGTTATTAGAGTATGTGTCTAGCATTCTTGAAGTCTGGGTCCCAGCACCATTCTAAAGCAGGACTGAGACACTCAGAAGGTAAAGGCAGGAGGATTGGAAGTTCAGATTCATTCTTAGCTATAGTCTAGCATTCTTGAAGTCTGGGTCCCAGCACCATTCTAAAGCAGGACTGGAGACACTCAGAAGGTAAAGGCAGGAGGATCAGAAGTTCAAATTCATTCTTAGCTATGTACTAAGTTTGAGGCAGGCCAGTCCAGGATGTATTTATATATGTTTGAATGCTTCCATAATCAAAGGTTTAAAAAAGAATTTAGAAAAGCAAAACTTACAAAAAAAATTTACGCATATGGATGTTTTGTCTGCCTGTATGTCTGTGTGTTGTGTATGTGCTTGGTACACCCAGAGACAGAAGAGGCCATCAGATCCCTTGGAACTAGAGTTACAGATGATTGTAAGACACCATGTGGTGCTGGGAATTGAACTTGGGTCCTCTGTAAGAACAGCAAGTGCTCTTATCCACTGAGCCTCCTTTTCGGCTCCAAACAAAATATTTTTACTTCATATTCTCACTCCTGGAAACCTGTCCCTTAAAAACATCAGCTGAGTGGTGGTGGTGGTGGTGGTGGTGCACGCCTTTAATCCCAGCATTCGGGAAGCAGAGGCAGATGGATTTATGTGAGTTTGTGGTCAGCCTGGTCTACAGAACTACACTGAGAAATCCTGGGTGGATAAACCCAAATACATACACACACACACACACACACATACATACTCACACACACACACACACACACATACATCAGTTAATGTGAATATGTGGAGCTAGACCTGGTGGTACATGCCTGTAATCCCATCTACTCTACAAAGCTGAGGCAGGGCTGGATGGGGGAGGGGGGTCTTAGATTAGCAGTCTAGGTTACAGAGTTCGTTCAAGGTCTTCCAATTTAGTAAGACTTTGCCTCCAAAATCTAAAAGCAAAACAGAGAGGGCTGTGGCTGTGGCTCAGTGGTGGACCACTTGCCTAACATGTGCATGGCCCTAGTTCAACCCCAGGTACCAAAGGAAAAGAGAAAGAGACAAAGTAGTTTTGCATTCTGCTTGGAGAATGTCAAAATATTTTCCAATAAGAAAACCAAGTATAGGGAAAAGGGTACGTGAAAGCCTTATGTTGGGGGTGGAGAGGTGGTTCATGGTTCAAAGCAGTAACTGCTCTGCTAGAGGACCCTGGTTCAATTCCCAGCACCCTCATAGTGACACACAACTGTCTATAACTCCATTTCAAGGGATCTAAATGTGCCCTTCTGGCCTTCTCAGGCATTGCATGCACAGGTGCACAGACATACGTGTGTGTGTGTGTGTGTGTGTGTGTGTTGGCAGGGCACCCATATACATACAAAATTTTTAAATAAAAGAATTATCATAGCAGACTTATGCCCTTTAGTACAGTGTCTCTGTGTGTGTGTGTGTGTGTGTGTGTGTGTGTGTGTGTGTGTGTGTGTGTGTGTGTGTGTGTGTGAATTCAGAGTCCAACTAGAGGAGGGTGTGAGCTCCCTGATGTAAGTTCTGGGAACTGAACTTGGGTCCTCTACAAGAAGAGCAGCAGGTGCTCTTAACTGATAAGCCTTCTCTTCCCATGCCCCTGCACCCCTCCCCAGTAATTCTATCTATCTATCTATCTATCTATCTATCTATCTATCTATCTATCTATCTATCTATCTATCTATCTGTTCATTCATTTTGGTTTTCAGGACAGGGCTTCTCTGTGTAGCAGCTCTGGCTGCCCTGGAGCTCGCTCTGTAGACCAGGATGGCCTCAAACTCAGAGATTTTTCTGCCTCCACCTCCCAAGTGCTGGGATTAAAGGCGTGTGCCACCACTGCCTGGGGCCGGAGTAATATTTTTAAAAGGAAGAAATCCCAGCAACCAGAAGGCTGAGGCAGGAGGGTGAAAAGTTTTAGGCCATTTAGTGAAACTTTGCTTCAAAATAGACAGATAAATGGAGTCAGCACTTGTCCCAGTGGCTGGAGGTGCTTGCCACTGAGCCTGGGATTGGAGTTTGAACCCTGGGTCACACAGGGTGAGAAGGACAGAATCAACTCCCACAGTTGACTCTGACCTACATGTATGCACCTTGGCAGGCCCGCATCCTCCCCCACTCCCACAATATAAATAAATCAATAACTTTTGAGAAAAAATAACAACTGAGGCTTAGATGGTGGCTCAGGGGTCAAGAGCACAGAGTGGTTTTGCAGAATACTGGAGTTCAGTTCCCAGTGCCCACATCAGCTCACAACTGTAGCTCTAATGCCCCTGGCCTCTTCCAGTGCCTACACTCATGTACACGTACCCACAGTCAGACACACACATTCACATAATTTTTAAAAATAATAAACCTTTAAAAAATTTTCAACAACAAAATAGGCTACATGATACCATTAACATTTGTGCACATTATTTTCTGTGGACTTTGTTGAGATTAGCATGAGAGTCATGATTTTGAAAACAACAAGAAAGGAACAATTTTGTGTTTTCCGTGTAATTAAGGAGAGAAAAGGGATTTGCCCTTGAGTTGGAAAATGACCAAGAGTGGATGGAGGGCCCGGAAAACCCATGGAAGTTTTGTTTTGTTTATTATGGGGGGGGGTGTGTGTAAATGCTGCAGCTCTTGTGTGAAGGTCAGGGAACAAGTTTGTGGATTGGGATCTCCCTTTCCGTCTTCATGGGGGTCCTGAGACTGGCACTGTGATTGTCAGGCTTGCTGGGTAAGCACCTTTCCCCATTGAGCCCTCTTGCCAGTCCTCAGTGGGAAGGTTTAGAAGTGGCAGAGGGATGGCTGGATGGCTGGCTGGCTGGCTGGCTGGCTGGTCTCAGGCCGCAGTGGCTCCCTGACATCAGCATCTCTTCCTCTTGTACTCTGAGGAATAATGTTTCCCTGGGGATGAAAAAGCCTTCCTTTGTGTGGCCCCTTAATTACCATGCTGTTGTGCCAAGCCAGCGAGTAGCAGGCGGGTACAGCAGCTGGGCACAGCCAATGCCAGGCAGCAAAGCCTGCTCCCTTGGGACAGCCTGGGACAGCTGGTCTGGGAGTGCTACCCACCAATGCCCCTCCTCCCACAATCTGGGTACCCGTAGAGGATCTAGAGGGCCCTGGATGGCCTCAGGGCAGTCAGAAACCCCAAGGGTCATTGGAGGAGGGGGAGGAGGAAGAAGGGGTGGGAGGCTGGGAGGGTCTCAGCGGCTCTCAGAGGCTTATTTATTTCATCCCCTTCCCTTCCCCCGTCTTGTTTCTGCAGACTGTCAGCGTCAATAAGGCCATTAATACGCAGGAAGTGGCCGTGAAGGAAAAACATGCCAGGAATATCCTTTTGGATGCAATCCTTGGGAGGCTGGCCCTGGAAGGGGGTCAAATAGTGGGAACTGAGGTCAGGAAGAGGCTTCTTGCTTGGCAACATGAAAAGTAACCCTTGCCTGGGACAGGAGCCTGCAGGCAGAAGCCACTTCCAGTCTCACTACAGACCCAGAGAGCACTCATCCTAGAAACCCCAGCCTGGCAAGGCCCAAGGGACACAGGAGGCCATCCAGCCCAGGCTCTTTGTATGTATTTAGTTAGTTAAGTCTCAAACCCAGGACAAATGACTAACTGAGGTGTCCATTAGCATACCAAAGTGGCCACCAGGTTCTCCCTGTATCCCTTAGTCCCTACCTGGTACACAGTTCTACTGGCTGGCAACTCTCCAGCCACCCTTCCCTGTATAATCCAACCCTTTTAGTTACCTGGCCTTTTCAGGTCATAGATTCTTCACCCTCCTGATCTTGGTCTGATTCTACCCCTACCCACCATGGTCCAGCTCAGTTTGCTTATGTCCACTTTGTACTATCCCAGATGTCCCTGCCTCTGGCTATGCTCTCCCTGTTATCTACAATAAGTTTTTTCCTCCACCATACCTAGGAACAGTCATGTCCTCTCCTGTTTGTCTGTCTGTCTTTCTATCATCTGATGCCGAAACCCAGGACCAGTCATGTCCTTTCCTTTTTATTTCTTTTTTTCATTTATGTTATCTGGTTAAATTTATTCTTTGACAGGGTCTCATGTAGCCCAAGCTGGCCTCAGATTCACTGTGTAGCTGAGGGTAACCTTGAACTCCTGACTTCTGGGGTTCTGGGATTATAGGCATGTACCACCATGCTTGGTTTTTATGCAGTACCAGAGTGAAAATCAGGGCTTCATGCACACTAGGCAAATTCTTCACCAGCTGGGCTATAGTTAAAGTTTTTATTTGCCTGTTTATTTATTATGCATAAAGGTGTTTTGCTTTAAACATATCTTAGAAGAACTGCTGAGCCGTCTCTCCAGCCTCTACTTGTTTATTGATGGTTCTTGATGGTGGTGGTTTTGAGACAGGGCCTCATTGTGTCCTCAAGTTGGCCTCAAGGTTGGGATTCTCTTGCCTGAAAATCCCGCTGGGATTGAACCTGTGTGCCAGCATGCACAGCTCCTACTCCTCACTGTAATAACGTATACGAGCCTCCTGAGCTGGCTTAGCAGGCCAAAGCTGGTCAAGAATTGACATCCCAAGTCCGGTTCTCAGAATCCACAGTGGGCGAAGGAAGCCTGTCTTCATGGTTGTCCCCAACATCCACACATGTACTGTGCCCCACTCACACAGGCATGGCATGCACGTGACCTTAATCACAAGCCAACCCAAAGTGAAAGAGAAAATCCACGTGTTAAGGTGGTGGTAGTGAGCTGGAGAGATGGCTCTGGGGTTAAGAACACCGACTGCTCTTCCAAATGACAATGGTTCAATTCCCAGCACCCACATGTCAGCTCACAACTGTCTGTAACTCTTATTCCAGAGGATCCAACACCCTCACACAGACATATATGCAGGCAAAGCATCGATGTACATATTTTTTTTTTAAAAAATAAAGATGGTTGCCATGATCCCAACAGTCCTACTCTACATCTCCCAGACATAGACAGGCTTTTCTTTCTCGCCTGCCAGTTCCCAAATAACTTACACAGAGACAATTTTAATTAAAAATGCTCAGCTGAAAGCTTGGGCTTGTTAGTAGCTAACTCCTATATTTTATATTAACCACATTTCTTAATACTGTTTGCCATGTGGCAGTACCTTCTTTCAACATGGCACATTCATCTTGTTTCTGTGTCTCTCTCTCTGTTCTTCTCTGATTCCACCATTCTTCCCAGTTATCCTGTCCAGCTATTGGCCTGTCAGCTTCTTTATTAACCAGTCACAGTGCACATAGGATTCTGCCTACACACAGAGACTAGCCAAGACCACCCCTGGCCCAGAGCTGCACTTGTCTGGGAGGATGGAACAGAGTGACTGCCATGAGTTGGAGGCCAGCCTGGGCTACAGAGTGAGACTCTATCTCATTCTACCAAAGAGGGCAGGGAGCTGGGAGTGGCTCAGCTATGTGGGTGCTTGCCTAAAATGCACAAAGCCCCCAGCCTCAGCATCACATAAGCCAGGTGTGGTCCTGCACCCCTGTAATCCCAGAAGTCTGAAGTAGAGATAGGAGGATCAGAAGTTCAAGGTCATCCTCTACTAACATACTAATTCCAGGACAACCTGGGCTACTTAAATGTTGACCCAGCCTCAGAAAGACAGATGAGAGGGCAGTAGGGAAACTTGCCATCAAGCCTGAGGACCTGAGTTCAATCCTCAAGACCCCATCTAGAACTGACTCCAACAAACTACCCTCCAACTTCTACACATGTACCTATGTGGCACATAATAATACATAAATAAATTTAAGTGTAAATTTTAAAGACAATTCCTTTTAGGGGAAACTTGTAAAATAGAGAGCAAGGTATTTTAGTATGCTCAGCCTCCAAACTGCCAGGGCAAACACTCAGAACTGTGTGGAGTCTCAGAGGTGAGCAGTGCCCACCCTCCTGTCAGCAGAACTGTGTGGAGTCTCAGAGGTGAGCAGTGCCCACCCTCCTTTCAGCACCACCCATCAGCCCCCGCTTTCCCTAACTCCCCTCACCGTGCATCCTGGGCACCCACCATGAGAAAGGGGCGCAGACATTTTGGTCTGTGGTCAACCGACTGCCTCTGTCCAGCAATGCCATGCTATGCTGGAAGTTCTGCCACGTCTTCCACAAACTCCTCCGAGACGGACATCCAAACGTGAGTCCCTGCCCTGGGCTGCAGGGGCAGTCAGTGGCTCATGCTGGGAAAGTGAAACTGATTTCCGTTCCTGCTGGCTGTGTGTGTGTGTTTGTGTGTGTGTGTGTGTGTGTGTGTGTGTGTGTGTGTGTGTCTATGTGAGTGTGTGCCATGTGTGTCCAGGTGCCTGATGAGGCCAAAAGAGGGTATCAGATTCCCCTGGAGCTGGAATTGCAGGATATTGTGAGCCACCAGGTATGGGTGCTGGGAAACAAACTTGGGTTCTCTCTGAAGCAGCTGCAAAACACCCTTAACTGCAGAGCCATCTCTACAGCTCCCAGAATTGGATCATTAAAACTATTTTATTCAGAGAGCCAGCAACTGGAGAAGACCATGTCCTCTAGCTCATCTTAAGCTAGGGGATTATACAGTGAGAAGGGGGCGGAGACAAAGGCTGTCAATCATTTCATGGTTCAGCTTTGCCCCTTTGGTCAGGTGATCAGCCATATTTCTGATCAAAAAAAAAAAAAATCTCACTTCCGATATTTGTGCCCCTTGCATTGTATTGCACTCTTCCTCATGGGTGTCTGGGCTCAAATGTTTATTGAAATACTTAGTCAAGTTAATGTCTGCTGGTGTCAACCTGCTCCAGAGGCACCTGGGCCAAGAGGCAGTGTCACACTCAAACCCTGTCTGTTTGAAGCCAGTAACAGTGTGTATGTACTGATTACTTTCAACAGTATGGAGTACGAGTGTCTATAGTATAGAATATGGAAGTGCCCCATTATCTCTCCTGTCCCCTATCAAAAGTGATTGTCACGCCAGTAAGATAATCCCAGGAGTCTAAGATGGGAGGAGAGAACTGATTGCTGAAAGTAGTCCACTGATCTCCACGTGTATGCTATGACACCTGCGTGCGTGTGCATGCACACACAGACACATGTATGCACACAGAACACACACACACACACACATACACACAATGTCTGTGTTGTGTTGCCACACCTCTCATCTTTGATTTCCCATAGGAGGTGGGTACATCCCTTCTGATGGGTCTCTTCCCCACCTCGGGACCAGGTAGACTGTTCTCTGACCACCCGTGTCTCCTCTCATGGTTCTTCCCTTCTTTTCTAGGTGCTAAAAGACTCTCTGAGATACAAAAATGAATTAAGCGACATGAGCAGGATGTGGGTGAGTTTGGAGATGCACCCGGGGACCTCCTACTCCTCATTCCCAGAGAAGGGATATAACAAATTACCTCCTGCCTTTTGGTTTGGTTTGGTTCAGACAGCATCTCACGGAACCCAGGCTAGCCTCAAATTCACTATGTAGCGAAGGTTGACCTAGAACTCATGACCCTCCTAGCTCCCCTTCCTGTGTGCTGGGATTGCAGGTGTGCATGGCCAAGTCCAGTTTATCCAGAGCTGTGGAAAGCAATCACTCTACCATCTAAAATGCATTACCAGCCAGCCCAACTCTTGATTGGTTAGTTTCTTCTGTGGGTCTTAGGGGCGAACTCGGGTATCCTCACATTAAATTGTCTTGCTCCAGGTGAATTCCAAGTCCCCAGAGCTAGCCTGGGGATATGAATTCCATATTATGGAATTAGGATCCCGCATAGGGACTTGACATTGTATTTATGTCCTTTGTGGTCACAATAAATTGCACTTTTAATTCTTTGTTTTGGGGCTGGAGAGATGGCTCAGCAGTTAAGAACACTAGCTGCTCTTCCAGAGGACCAGAGGTTCAATTCCCAGCATCTACATGGTGGCTTACTACCACCCATAACTCTAGGGATCCAGTGACCTCTTCTGGCCTCCTCAAAGATGCAAACATGTAGTTCACAGACCTATATGCACACAAAGCACCTAACACATAATAATATAAGGTAAAAAAAATAAATATTTATTATTTGTTTGTTTGAGCTCTCCATACATAGTCCAGGCTAGCCTGGAGCTTGTAGTCTTCCTGCTTTAGCCTCCTGAGTACTGGGATTATAGGCATGCAGTGGGAAGGTGAGAGTATATGCATTTGTGTGGGAAGATACACACACACAGTCGGCCATGGGCATTGCTCCTTAGGAGCTGTCCACCTTGTTGGTTTTTTTTTTTTTTTTTATTTTTGTTTGTCTTTAGTTTATTTTGAAGCAGGGTCTCTCTCTATGTAGTCCTGGCTGTCCTAGAACTCACCACGTAGCCCAGGCTGGCCTTGAATTCACTGAGATCCTCTATCCTCCGCCTCCCAAGTGCTGAGATTAAAGGCTTAAACTATCACACTACACCAAGCCATCCTCATTTTTTGAGACAGGCGCTCACTGAACCTTGGCTCACCAGTTAGGTTAAGCTGGTTGTTTGGCAAGCCCTGGGGATCTTCTCATCTCTGCCTCCCCAGCTCTGGAACTGCAAACGTGTACTGTGAGTGCTGAAGATGCCACTCAGGCCCCCAGTCTTGCTCAACAGTTACTTAACAACAGAGCTATCTCCCCAGACCTTTTTTGTTTTTTTAAATTATTTTTATCTTATCCCTTGCTTTCTTATGGATTCATTGTGGGTCTCACTTTGTAACCCAGGCTAGTCTTCAATTATAGTATCCTCCTGCCTGAGCCTCCCTGGTGGGTGCTGGAATTCCTGTACAATAGCTTTTTAAAAAATATTTTATTTTTATTCGTCTGTGTACATTCGATGGAGCTGGAGTTTCAGGCATTTGGGAGCCAGGAACTGAACTCAGGTCCTCTGAAAGAACCACATACACTCTTGACTGTTGAGCCATCCCTCCAGCCCCCTTTACAAGATATCTTATGCCTTGCAAATATTTTAGCTATATTAATGAGACCCATGCTTCTTATAATCCCATCTGTCCTTAGAGATCTGTTTGGCCATCTGGCATTTCTGGTGAATTTTAGGATTTTTCCTTTTGTGCCCCCCACCCCCACCCCCGAGCTACTCAGTTTTCCTGGGAACACACAATCTTTGAAGTCAGTAACAAAGACAGGTCCCTCCAGAGAGAACCTGTGTTTGCCTCCATAGAGATTGCTCTCAATTAAGCTTTCAGCTGGAAGCTTGTGAATTCTGGGAAAGTCCCATGGGGAGTGTCTGCTGGGTCTCCTTCCAGCACTGGATTTTACTTCTCTTCATCACAGGATTGGGTGGAGAAAATCGAAATTGAATATTCTCAAGGATTTTTTCCATATGGCAGTGCTGGGGGTGACCACTCTTTATAGTATTTACTTTTTTAGATTGTGTGTGTGGCGGGGGGGGGGGGGGGGAGATACAAGCATGCCAGCAAGCATGGCTACAGGAATCAGTGTTTCTCTTCTATTAGGTGGTACCCTGAGGTCATCAGGCTCGGCGGCAAATTCCTTTATCCTTTGAGCAATCTTTCTGCCTCATCTTTTTTTGTTTGTTTGTTTGGGTTTTTTTGTTTTGTTTTTCAAGACAGTTTCTCTGTATAACAGTCCTGGCTGTCCTGGAATTCACTGTAGAGCAGGCTGGCCCCAAGCTGCCTCTCCCTCCTGAGTGATGGGATTAAAGGCGTGAGCCACCACCACCTGGCTCAGCGCCACCTTTTAAAACTGTATTTATTATGTGTTGGGATGGGCGGAGTTATACACGAGTGATGTAACCATCATAAAGACAACACCTTGCCTGTGGTAGTCAGTCCTCTCTTTCCATGTGGGTCCCAGGGATTGACTCATGTCGGGCCTGGCAGCAAGAGTCCTCACCCACTGAGCAACCAGCAGCCCAAGAAAGAGAATTAAGAGAAAGCCCTGCCTTGATACTGATGTAGCTTCCTCTCTTCTTCCACAAAGGGCCACCTGAGTGAGGGGTATGGACAGCTGTGCAGCATCTACCTCAACCTGCTGAGAACAAGGATGGAGTACCACACCAAAGTGAGCATCTGCCGTTCTCCATGGCTCCCACTCCTTTCCCCAGTGCTTCTTCCAGACCCTCCTTAGTCTTTATTAACACTTTAGGGAACAGTCTGGGACCTCAAGAAGCCAGGGTGCTATGGCCCAACTCTGAAAGGGGAAACCAATAGATAGACCAAAGTGATCAGTGATCCCAGGGTGACCTTTTGACTGTTGACCTATGTCATGGGGTCATTCTGTTCAGCATTTCACAAGTAGGCTAACGACAATCATCCAGTGGGTGGTGTTTCCTGAGGAAAATGGCAAACATTTACTTATGTACATATTTTAAGATTTGTTTGTAGTTTATAATATGTGTATAGGTATGTGCACCACACGCATGCAGTGCCCACGAGGCCAGGAGAGGGTGGCAGATCCTCTGAATGTAGAGTTATAGACAGTTGTGAGCATCCATGGGGGTTCTGGGAACTTAACCTACCTCCTGTGTAAGAACAGCCAACGTTGTCAACTGCTGAGCCACCAATCCAGCCCCATCTTGGCCTTGCATTTTACATTGTATTTTTATTTATTTCAGGGGGGAAGGTGGCATCAGAGGACAACTTAGAAGAGACAGTTCTTTCAGGGCTGGAAAAATAGCTCAGAGGTTAAAAGCACAGGCTATTTTTTCAAAGGGGATGGGGTTCAATTCCCAGCACCCACATTGCAGTTCACAGCTATCTGTCACAGCAGTTCTAGGGGATCCAGGTTCCTTTTCTACACTCTGGGCACCATGGTGTGCATACATACATGCAGGAAAAACACTCAGATAAATTAGAGATACATCTTTTTAAAAAGTCATTTGGAAGATTAAAGGGTACATTTTAAAGTACTCGGGGGGAAAAAATAGTTTATTCTCCCTTTCTGCCATGTAGCTCCAGGCATCAAATTTAGGTCAAAACAAGCCAAAAATAAATAACATGTGATAAATCAAAAATAAGTGGACTCTCACCTTGTTCTGGCTTCATGCCAAAGTATTCACTCTGGAATTTAGAAGCTCTTGATGTAATGGCCACCTATCTTTCTACTATCTGTTTCCATGTCTTCTGGTATTTGGGCTACTCCAGCAGCTGAAGCAGGGGGATCACTTGAATCCAGGAGGAGATGTAGCTAAATGAACAGAGTGCTTACCTAGCCTGCATGAAGCCTTGGTATTCATCCCCAGCACTATCTAAACCTAGTATAGTGTGCACATGTCTAATCCCAGCACTCAGGAGGTGGAGGCAGGAGGATCAGCAGTTCAAAGTTGTCCTTAGCTACATAGTGAGTTTCAGGTCAACCTGGGCTTCTTGGAACCCTATGTCAATGGACTTTTCTTTCCCGCCCACCAGTACCAACACGGAGACTCAGTATTAATTATAAATGCTAAGCCAATAGCTCAGGCTTATTACTAACTAGCTCTTACAACTTAAATTAATCCATATCTCTTATCTAAGTTTTACCACATGGCTCATGGCTTGTTACCTCATCTTGTACATGTCCTGCTTCCTCTGTGTCTGGCTGACAACTCCTGAGACTCCTCCCTTCTTCCCAATATCCTCCTAGTCTGGCTCTCCTGCCCAATCTCTTCCTGGCCAGCTATAAGCCAGTCAGCTCTTTATTAACCAATGAGAGTAGTACATATTTACAGTGTACAAAGATTGTTCCACAGCAGCCATGCCTTAAAACAAACAAATGAAACACTTGAGAACATGGGCCTGTCTCTTCTGGACTCCCATGAGCTCACAGTAGCAGCTTTGGTAAATGGCCAAGGCTGGGGAGATTGAATGAGAAGTGAGTGTCTGCTACCCAGGGATTCCAGATGATTGGCAGGGGAGCATGCGCACATGCTGGGTCTCATTGCACCTCACGAGGTCATGCTTAGAGAGTGCTCCAGGACTCGTGTTGCAAGACAGGGACCTTCAGCTCTGATGATGGGTAGTGAACAGTGGGAGCCATTAAGGGGTCTGTTTGTGAGGTCATGTAGACTGATCCTGCCTCCCTCAAAGGTGTTGTTGACATAGGACCTGCTACACATGATTTATATAAGCAGCTGTGTCTCCTCTCTCCATCTGTAAGCTGTGTCCTCAAACAAGCACTGTACCACTGAGTGGTATCGTCAGAAAAACACTCCACCCACTTAGCTGCATCCTCAGCCCTCCAGTGCTTCATTCTGTCTTCCTTCACCCAAATTCCCTTCCAGAATCCCAGGTTCCCGGGCAACCTCCAGATGAGTGACCGACAGCTGGATGAGGCTGGAGAAAGTGATGTTAACAATTTGTAAGTGGCCGTCCTCGTGCTCCTGACCCAGTAGGGAAGTAAGCCTTTGTGATTTTGGTTTTTGCTCCTGGAAATGGTGGGAAGCCCCAGTGGTAGGAGATGGGCTGGGGTGAGGAGTAAGTCCCCTGGGTGGCTTGGCATCAGGACCACTTGCTGCTAGCACTGTATCCACCTGGAATCCTACCCAGACATATTTCAACATGGTTTCTCTGTCTTAGTCTCCACATCCTAAACCCAGACCCAGCATCGTCGTCTCTCTTTTCTCCTGTGGAACCTTGAGAGGTTTAGTCTTTAAATACCTTTCATAATAGAAACTTGGGAGGAAGCTGGGGTGTATGACTAAACAGGCAAGAACGCAGCTGTGCTCACACGGGAATCCTCAGGGTTGGGGAAGCAGGACAGAGCATGGGGGTGGTGTGAAAACCTGGCTCTGCTGGCTGGGAGTGTGGCTCAGCATTAGAGCACTTGCCTAGACTCTGAGCGAGGGCAAGGCTGTGACCCAGTAGTGAGGGGCTGGGGACATGGCTCCCCAATGGTAGAGCACCTGCCTGGAATCCATCAATGACATGCTGGGGCCATGGTTTAGCAGTATCATGCTTGCTTAGCATGTACAAGGTCATGGATTTCATCCTTGGCATTGGGTTGAGGCTTTGAGGGGGGATCCGGCCTATGGACTTTGATTTCTGTTTCTTCTTGTGTCAGTTTTCAGCTCACAGTGGAGATGTTTGATTACCTGGAGTGCGAACTGAACCTCTTCCAGACTGGTGAGTCTCTTCCTACACTGTCATGTGACTTAGTCACTGGATTCCCAGCCTGATCAGTGTGGTTCAGCTGGCTCAGTCCCTTTGCTTGTTGGCCTTTTTGTTTTGTTAAACACAAAGTCTCTATGGCATAGGCTATCCTGAAACTCACAGCAGTCCCACCTCAGCCATCTGAGCGTTGGGATTACAGACTTGTACCACCATGTCCGGCAGGCTGAGCCCTCTTTTGTTACCACTGCTTAGCAGAAGGCAATGAAGCAGAGCTGTCATATCAGCCTCTGTTCTCTCTCTTCACATAGTTTTGAAGTCAGTTATTTCATATCAAATAGGGAGACCAGTTGCTCTGTCCCTCCCAAGGAGCCTCCCTCCCTCTTGGTCACCAAGCTCCCAGAGGCTATTGTGACTTTTCTGACAGCTGTTGGATGGTGGCCATGATTCCAGCCATTCCTGTCTGATTATTGCTGAGCCTGTACACAGGCATGCTTTCTGCTCAGAAGGGGAGTGTAATCAGATTTTTCTTTGGGCTGCCAACCAGTTCCCAAATAAAGACATGGAGACTTATTATTAATTAATGCTTGGCCTTAGCATAGGTTTGTTCCACTAGATCTTTTAATTTAACCTGTTTCTTTTCCTATATATTTTGCCTCGGGTCTTTCTACCTTTCATTCATTTTGTATGTCCTCCTTTCCTGCTTCCTCTGTGTCTTGTCTAGCTGGCCCCTGATGTCTCCTTTCCTTCTCTAGAGCATAATTCCTCCTCCTACTTACTCTCCCTGCCCAGAAGTTCTACCTCTACCTCCTCCCTCACTATTGGCCATTCACCTTTTTATTAGACTACCAGGTGCCTTAAGCAGTTAAGGTAAAACAGCAACACATCTTTACATCGTTAAACAAACAGTCCACAATATAAACAAATGCAACACATCTTTACTTAGTTAAACAAATGCAAAACATTTTTGCATAGTTAAATATTCCACAATAGAGGAGTCTTGTCTTGAGCTTGGGATATGGCTCATTACAGTAGAGTGCTTGCCTAGCGTACTCACAGATTTTTTTAAATCATGTATGCATGTAGGTCTGTGTTGTGGTATGTACACATGAGTGCAGTTGTTTGCAGAGGCCAAAATAGGGCATCAGATTCCCCTGGAGCTAGAGTTACAGATAGTTGTAAGCCACCCTGCCTTATGTGGGTGCTGGGAACTGAACTTGAGTCCTCTGAAAGAGCAGTATGCTCTCTAAACTACTGAGCTACATCTAGAGCCTTAATAACATTGTTTTCTTGTTTTTGTTTTTTTTTTTAAAAAGCCAGGCATAGTGTTAGGTGGATCACTGTGAGTTCGAGGCCAGCCTGATCTACAACATGAAGACAAGAGAAACAGTCTCAAAAAAGCCCAGTAAAATAGAATGGAAGCAACTGAGGACACCTGAGGTTGCCCTGTGGCCTCCATTTGTACCAGCCCACACCTGCACACACACAGGCACATGCACACATACATGCTTACCCACAAAGCTGAAAGGCACAGTGCAGGTGCTCTTGAACTCCTCACTGGTCTCATCAGACCATAGGCGATCATAACCACAGTGCTTCACACAAGAGTGTCTAGAGGCCCGGCCAGGCTGACACACTTAGCTATAGTCACTGCTGTAGCTGCTGCTGGGGTCAAGGTGCATTCCTGGAAGGAGATGGAAATGACCGTAATTTCTTGTCAAGCAGAATCCTGAGAAAGCCAGGTGACACTGGTGGCTGCTTTGCAGTGACAGCTGCTTTTAATTTTGTCAAGAAAAAACTACCTTTAAATTAGGGTGGTTCAATTTGGGTGGTTCTCGGTGTGTGTGTGTGTGTGAGAGAGAGAGAAAGAGAGAGAGAGAGAGAGACAGACAGACAGACAGACAGGCAGGCAGACAGACAGACTGACAGAGGCAGAGACAGAGAAACAGACAGACAGACAGACAGACAGGCAGGCAGGCAGGCAGACAGACAGACTGACAGAGGCAGAGACAGAGAAAGAGAGAATGTCTCTCTTTCTAAGCCACCAAACACACAGGGTCTATGCAGACCAGAAAAAGGAAGTCTTGTGTTGCATATTACATATAATCCCCAGGGACAGTGGGCAGCCTGATAAGAAAGATAGTCAGCCCTGACCAGCGGGTGAGATGGCAGCCTATAGTCAGGCATCCTATAGCTGAGTATAAAATGAGGTACTGCAGGTAGATGCCTGGATAAGAAATTTAGGGAAATGCTGTACACAGTGGTAGAGTGCTTGCCTAACATGCATGAAGTCCTGGGTTCAAATCCCTGACACTATATAAACCATGCATGTTGGTACACACTTCTTCCAGCACCGGGAAGATGGAGGCAGGGAGAGCAGAAATTCAAGATCACCCCTGGCTGCATATTGAGTTCAGGTCCACCTGGAGCTACATGAGACCCTATTTCAGAACAGAAAATATGTAGAGTGTTTCCGCTCAGACTTGGGGCAGGTCTCAAAGGTTAAGGGGCTTCAACACAAAGTAGAGCATCATTCTCAACCTGGTCATGACACCCTGAGCTGAGGTGAGAGGGCAGAGCTGTTCAGTTCTTCCTGCGCTACAGAGCAAGATCCTGTCTCAACATGAAATTATAGAAATCACTGGGGGTACAGTTCAGGGTCATAGCATTTGCCTAGAATCCTCCAATAAGGAATTAGGGGTGTGGCTCAGTGGTAGGGTACTTGCCTAAAATACCCCAGAGGAATTAGGACCATGGCTCAAGAGTAGAGAGCTCTGGGCTAAAATCCTCCAATGAGGGGCTGGGGACATATATCTTTACTGTAGAGAACTTGCTTAGAATCCCGCAGCAAGGAGCTGGGTATATAACTTAGTAATAGAGCACCTGCCTAGAATCCCCAGTGAGGGGCTGGGGTGTGGCTCAGGGGTAGAACACCTGCCTAGAATCCCCCAGTGAGGGGCTGGGGTGTGGCTCAACAGTAGAATTTAGTCGAACTTTTCTGTTCCACCAGCCAGTTCCCAAATAAATGCTCAGCCTTGTTACTAACTAGCTCTTAACATTTTAAATTAACCCATATTTCTTGTCTGTGCTCTTCCATGTGGTGGTGCCTTTTTTCAACTCAGCAAGTTCATCTTGCATGTCTTCATAACTCCTCCCCTCTTCTTCCCAGCATTCTTTTTATATGCCAGTCCTTCCTAACCTCCACCTGTCCAGCTATTGGCCTGCCAGCTTCTTTATTAAACCAATCACAATGTAAAGGAGTATTCCACAGTAGGTAACTGCCTTTCATGTACAAAGTCCTGGGTTCCATTCTTAGTACCACAAAAACACAGAATACACACACAGAATAAGTCTTGGTTATATGTCACCACCCTGATTCTATTTCACTGCAGAGATTTCTGCCTCATTGTCGCCTCTCTCCCCATCTTCCTCCATAGTGTTCAACTCCTTGGACATGTCCCGCTCAGTATCAGTGACAACAGCTGGGCAGTGCCGCCTCGCTCCACTGATCCAGGTCATCCTGGACTGCAGTCACCTCTATGACTACACTGTCAAGCTGCTCTTCAAGCTTCACTCCTGTGAGTACCACAGCCTCGACCATCTCACGTGAGCCTCAGCCAGTTCCCAGGGGCATGCAAGCAGCTCACTCAGTACCCTCGGCCTTTTGCTCTGGTCCTCTGAGAATGGAGGGGAGTAACCCAAGCTTTAGATTACCCCAGTCTAGCTCCCAACCTTCCCAGTCCTGTGTCTTAGGAGGGTTCTGTCTGTTCACCTCCAGCTCTACCATGTCACCATTCACCAGAAGTCCTGTCTCCTTAGACTCACATAGAGTACAACTGACCTACACCTGCATGAGCTAATACGGTGACCTCCGGACCATCAGCAAGCCAATTCCTCATAATAGATGGAATTTTATGGAGAAATAGAAAACAAACAGCTGCGGGGCTGGTGTAGTTTAGCAGTAGGACCCTTGCTGAGAACTCCCTAGCTGAGGGTGTGGTTTGTAGCATTTGGCTAGAATTCCCCAGTGAGGGGTGGGGGTGTGGCTCAGTGGACGAGCACCTGCCTAGAATCCCCCAGTGAGGGGCTGGGGGCATGAGATCTTAACTAGCATGCATAACACCCTGAGTTTCATCCCCTCAATGAAGAAAAATTAAGTACAGCTGGGCCTGATGGCACATGCCTATAGTCGCAGTAGCTTGGTGGCAAAGGCAGAAGGATCTCTGCTAGTTCAAGGCCAGCCTGTGCTACATACTAAGTTTCAGGCAAGCCTTGTTTATGTAGTGAGACACTTTCTTAAATAAAGCAATAAACAAATCAGAGCTAATTCAAGGTAAGGAGGACTGTATCTTGCTCCGCAGCAGATTCCTGCTGCTCCCTTAAGAAAAATGCATAATTTGCTGAGAGGTGGTGGCAGCACACGCCTTTAATCCCAGCATGCAGGAGGCAGAGGCAGGTAGATCTCTGTGAGTTCGAGACCAGCCTGATCTACAAGAGCTAGTTACAGGACAGTCTCCAAAGCCACAGAGAAACCCTATCTCAAAAAAACCAAAATAAATAAATAAAATAAAAAATCAGGCTACTGCTGGGCTTGGATAGGTCTCTGGTATAGTTTAAAATCTCCATCTTTAAATGCCGATTCCCCAGATAAAGCTACTGTAAATCCTCACTGGGGAATTTTAGGCAAGTGCTCAACCCTGAGCACATTCCCAGGCCCCAAAGAATGCCACAGCATGGTGGGAACCCTAAAAACTTGTAGATGTGAATGGATACTGTTTCATAGCCCAGAAAGGACAGGGTGTATTTTAGATGCGTAAAGCATGCATTCCTGGAATCCCAGAAGTATGGAGGTTCTAGAAGAGAATGGGAAATTTATTACCAGCCAGGGCTACATGATGAATCCAAGGCCCTCCAGTTGACATAGTAAATCTCTATCTCAAGGGGTAAAAAATAAAATTAAACTTTAAAAAGTTTATGAAACAAGGGATGCTTCATAACTGTTGACTTACAAGTAAAGACCATTTTATTTCATTTATTTGTTGTTTGAGGTGTGTGTGTGTGTGTGTGTGTGTGTGTGTGTACTCATGCATACTTGTAGAAGTCAGAGGACAATTTGCAGGAGTCATTTCTCTCTTTCCATCATATGGTGCCAGAGACAAAAACTCAGCTCATCAGTTTGGCAGCCAGTGGCTCTACCTAACTCTCTTTCCAGCCAAACCTAGTTATTTGGGACTAGACAAGAGAAATAGCATCACTCCAATTAATCTGGAGTCCGTCTCCCCCCACCCACCCCCGCAGGGTGACTACAATTTTCTGTTCCAGAATTAGAAAGGCTTGGTGCCATAGGTAGTACCTACAGGAAGCAGAGTGGGTGGTCCAAATCCCAAGAGGAGAAGAGTCTGTTGCTTAGAAACATCAATTACAGGCAGAGAGTGTAATTCTGTTGGCAGAGGGCTTGACTAGCATGTGCAAAACCCTGCATCCCCTCCCCATATGCATAAGTGGTGCCTATGGCCCACACCTGCAGTCTCAGCCCTAGGGAGGTTGAGGCAGAAGAACCAGGTCAACTTGGACTACGTGAAATTTTGTGGAAAAATAAGTAGATATAGATAGGGGTTGGAGGGAGGGCTCAGCAGTTAAGAGTGACGACTGTTCTTCCAGGGATCAATGCCCACATCATGGCTCATACCATCTATAAGTCCAGTTGTAGGAGATCCAGCATTTTCTCTGGCCTCCTGAGGGCCGTGCACTCACATGGTACACAGATGTACATGAAGGTCCAATACTCATGCACAAAAATAAATGGTTTTTAAAATAGTTAAATAAAAAACACCAAGTATAGGTGAACCTACTTTTATTTATATATTTCTTTTGTCTTATTTATTTGAGAGAATTTTGTATGTATCAGGATGGCCTTGAACTCGAAATGTAGCTCAGGATAACCTTGAGTTACTAACCCTCATAATCTGTCCCTCTCCTAGATAGTGGAGATTACAGGCATGAGCCACTAACTCCAACCCTCTGTTGTTAATATATTAGCATGAAGTTTGTCAGTTAGTGAAACTATTGGTACTCTTTTTGTGTTCAGTAAAGGAGCACAGGACCTTGTGTGTACTAGACAAGCACTTTCCTGCTGAGCCACACCCCAGCCCCTCACTGGTAGATTCTAGGCAGGGGCTCTACCAATGAGTAACACCCCAGCCCCTCACTGGGGGATTCTAGGCAGGGGCTCCACCACTGAGCCACGCCCAGCACTTTATAACACACTTTCAGCTAAAGTCAGAACTTCACTCAGAAGCCCGCCCTTTTTACTCAGTTTCCTTTTCCAAGCGCCCACCCAGGATCCTGCAGCACTCAGTCATTGTTTCTTCTTAGACTCCCAGTAGCTGTGACAGCTTGTCAGACTTCCTTTGTTTTTGATGACCTTGACAGGTTTGAGTTCTGGTCAAATTTTTTTTAAGTGGAACCTTCTTCTTCAATTTGGCTTTTTCTGTTTTTTTTTTTCAAGTAGAACTGAGAATGAGGGGTTTTGGAGTAGAAATTAAGTGCTCTTTCTCTCCCCTGTCTAACTGTATCTTTTTAGATTGTATTTTGAAACAAGGTCTCCATATGTAGTCCTGGCTGACCTTCAGCTCTCCATCTGCCTGGCTCATGTTCATCACTTTCAATAATCATAATTTATACATGAACTTTGTGATTATATCACGCATTCAAAAACAATTAAAAACAAGGCTTGTTGGCACACAGAAGCAGGAGGTTCATCACAAGTTCAAGGCCAGCCTGGGCTATGTAGTATGTTCCAGAACAGTTGGGGCTACAGTGTGAGACCCTGTCTCAAATAAACAAAGAAAAAGCACAGCACAGTGGTATGGTTTGTTGTTGCAGGTACAAGAGAATCTGAGGGTGGAGGATTGCTTGAGTCCAGGAGTTCAAGGCCAGCCTGGGTAACATAGCTTGACTGTCAGAAAGAGTAAAGGGGAGAGATAAGGAGGGAAGGTCGACTGAAGGGGAGCTAAAGTAAAAGCTGCTGCTGTGGGTCTTTCCACATCTTTAAGGAAAGAACCAACTCCCCAGGGTTATCCTCTGACCTGCACGCGTGCACTGGGGCACAAGGGCACCCACATGCAAAGACAAAACTGGTACTAAATAAAATCAAGTCAGGTTGCCTGTGATGCCAGCACACAGGAGGATAAAGCAGGAGACACATTAGTTCAGGGCCAGCCTGGGCTATATATATATATATATAGCAAGGCCTCCTCCTCCTCTCAAAATAAAATAAAATGAGAACTGAGTTATAATTCATAGTTGAAATACACAGCCTCTCATGGTCTGCAATGTGAAGGGACTACAGAGAAGCAGCTCCTTAGGGGTTGGGCCAGTGCTTGAGCAGTGTCACACAGTTAACCGTGTCCTAAACCTAGGCTGCTCCCTCGCCTGAGAGTGAACCCACTCTCATCAGCCCTGCAGTTTGATGATGCCACTGCTTCCCGGGGGATACAGGCTCCATCCTGCCCGGCCTAGAACACTGAGGTGGAAGAATGTAGAGGCCGAGCATCCTGGTGTTCCTCTGGGGTTCCCTTAGTTACCAAACCTCAGGTCTCCATGTGCTCAGGTGCTCCTTCCCATTTCCTCCAGGTCTTCCAGCTGACACCCTGCAGGGCCACCGAGACCGCTTCATGGAGCAGTTCACAAAGTAAGTGGCTCTAGAGAAGGGAGTGAAGTCCAATCAAAACATACTCTAGGGAGCCAGGTTAAAGTGCCTACTGCATAAACATGATGACCTGAGTTCGTATCCCAGCACTCAGGTAAAAAAAGCCAGGCAGGGTAGAACGCATCACACATGTGTGCGCACGAATCCCTGGCCCATGTATGAAGAGCAGAGAACAGTTTGCAGTCTCTCCTTCCACCAGGTGAGACTCAGGATTTAATTCAGGTCTCAGGCTTAGTGACAGATTCCTTTACCCACTAAGCCATCTCACCAGCCCTATACTTCCTTCTCTTGGCTGAATGAAACCTCTGTCCTGTAAGTAGATCACATTGTTTTTATCCGTTCATTTGTCGATGGACACGGGGTTTGGGCTATTGTGAAAGGTACCGTGGTGAACCTGGGTATGTGGTATCTCTGCAGTGTGCTGAATTAGATCCCTTCATGTATATGCCAAGCCATGTTACAGACAGACCATATGGTATATCTAGCCTTTTGAGGAAGGTCATACTGAGTTCTACTGTGGCTATACCATTTTACCCACCAACAGTGGGTTAGAGTTCTTCTCTCCTCATGTTCCCACCCCCATTGTCTGTCTTCTTTCTTTCTCCCTTCCTTCCTTCCTTCCTTCCTTCCTTTCTTTCTTTTTCATGTTGTTTTTCCTGATGATAGCCACTCGTACTTCAGAGAGAAAAACTCTCAATGTAGTTTTTTTTAAGATTTTATTTATTTATTATGTATACAACATTCTGCGTCCATGTATATCTGCACACCAGAAGAGAGCACTGGATCTCATGGTTGTGAGCCACCATGTGGTTGCTGGGAATTGAACTCAGGGCCTCTGGAAGACCAGTCAGTGCTCTTAACCTCTGAGCCATCTCTCCAGCCCTCAATGTAGTTTTTAATTTGCATTTTTTGTAGCTAAGAATATTGAGTCATATATATATATATATATCATATATACATATGTGTACATGTATGTATATATTGGTGTCTTAATTTCATGTCTGTTGTGATAAAATACCCTGACATGAAGCAACCTAAGGATAAAAGGGTTTACTTGATGACGAATTCCAGGTTCCAGTCTCTGTTTCAGGGAAGTCAAGGCAGGAACTTGGGGCATCTAGCCATATCTCAACCAAGAGCAGAGACAGAATGAATGCATGTGTGCTTGTTACTCAGCTAGCTTTCCCTACTATGCAATTCAAAAGGCCCAAAACCAGGGAATGGTGCCGCCCACGGTGGGCTAGGTCATCCCACATCGGTTCACCATGAAGACAATCCCCCACAAACCAACTTGATTTAGACAGTCCATTGTTGAAACTTTTTCCAGATTGATTCCAGATTGCATCAAATTGACAGTTCCAACTAATCATCACGGTTGGCCTTTTGCATTTCTTGTCTTGTGAATTGTTCATCTGTGAGGCAGCCATCTTTATGCCCTGTTATCATCTTCATCCTTGACCATGGCTTCTAAATCCCTTGCTGGTGCTTCACTTATTGGTTTCCTAGGGATCAGTCAAAGGACAAACACAGAGTGAACTAACTCCCTAGTTTTCTCGCTCCACTGGGGAAGCCTGGCGCACATCCTATGATGAATGACTTAGTAAATCCTAGGAGACAGGCCCTGAGCTTGGATTGCTGGAATGTGAAATTCCAGTAGCTTGCAAAAGCACTAACGTCTATTACTGTTGGCACCAACCCAGAGAGACGGGAACGTGTGGTCAGCTCATTTTATTTCCTTCCATTTTTTCCCCTTGCTTATGAAAACATCTCCTGTGAGTAGCTGCTTCATTTTCTCTCCCACACAGAGGCGAATATCCCTGGAAGCCTTGCTGTCCTGGAGTTGAGGGAAAGCTGTGGGAATGTCACAGGGGCACTTCAGGCCTGGGGTCTCCACGTAGGCTGTGTTGAGACCCTGGGGAGGGGTTGATTGGTGGGGCTGAGTAAGCAGAAGTTCTCTGCTGGAACCTCAGCTTCTCCTTGATGTTGGCTTTCTTGGTCTTTGGAGTTTTCACTCGGGTTAGAGGCTTGACAAGAAGGTAGATGCTATCTGGGGCTTGGTGTTTGGTTCAGAAGCACAATACCTGTATAGCATGCATGAGACCGTGGATCCCAAGCCCTAAGCACTGTGGAGCAGACTAGAAGAAAGGAGTGGGATGGACTGGGGTAAAGTAGGGGAGAGGAAGAAACAGAATAGGATAGAGAAGAACGGAAGCCAAAGTAGAATAGAATAACAGAATGCTCCTTTCCCAGTTTCTGTAGCAAAATCCATGAAAAAAAAAGCAGCTTACGGGAGTTTGAGGATACAGTCCAGCATGGTGTGAAAGTGATGGCAGAGAAAATCGCTTCCCTTTCATCCACACTAACTGTTCCTAGGAAGAGAAATCTGCCTGTAGTCCACAGCCACAAAGAAATGAGTTTGGCAGTCTGGGCAGTTTTCTAGTTTTGTCTTTGTTGTGACAAAATGCATGACAAAGGCAACTTAAGGAAGGAGCTGTTTACGGTGGCTCACAGTTTCAGGGCACCGTCCATCATGGCGAGGAAGGCGTGGCAGCAGGAGCTTAGGGCAGGTGGTCCCAGGGCCTCCACAGTCAGGAAACTTCACTTTTCTTCAGTTTCCCTACACACACAGTGTGCATGTGTAGATCAGAGGACAACTTGAGGGCATAAGTTCTGTCCCTCCACCCTGTGGGCCCCAGAGACTGAACTTGGATCATCAGGGTTGGTAGTGAATGCTTTGACCCACTGAGCCTTCTGGAAGGGCCCATGTTCTCCCTATTCAGCCCAAAGGGATGGTGCTACTCAAATTCGTAGGGGAAGGAGGTTCTTCCTATCTCAGTTAAAGCTCTGTGGACAACACCCAGAAGCATGTCCCCATGGTGATTCTAGGTCCCATCGAGTTGTCATCAAGATTGACCATGTCTGAGGCTGTCCAGTCTTCAACAGGATCCGAAGTGTTAATTACTCTTTTCTCATCACTGGTGACTGAGAACTCACTGTAAAAGACTTCAGTCTGGCCCAGCAGTGGTGGTGCACACCTTTAATCCCAGCACTCGAGAGGCAGAGGCAGGAAGATCTCTGTGAGTTCAAGGCCAGCCTGGTCTACTGAATGAGTGCCAGGACAGCTAGGACTACGCAGAGAAACCCTGGCTCAAAAAACAAACAAAAAAAGACCTCAGTCTGTAATATCATTTTAAAAATTTAATTTTAGTGTGTGCGTGAGACAGAAAGAGATAGAGACACAGAGAGATAGAAAGTGAGGTGTGTGTGTGCCATGGTGGTATGAATGTGCACATAGAGTCAGTTCTCACTTTCCACCTCTATGTGGCTTCCAGGAATCAACTCTAGTCACCAGGTTTGCTTCTTTATTTAGATGGCAAAGTGTCTTTACCCACTGAGCCATCTCCCTGGCCCTATGGTATCATAATTGAATCCTGGCACCTTGGAGGGCTTGTGCCTATAAGGTAGACAGAGGGTGGGAATCCTGGGGAGGTGTCCCATGTGTTCCTGGGATGGGCAGCCAACCACATCCAGACCTCTGAGATGCTCATGCACTCCCAGGTTGAAAGATCTGTTCCAGCGCTCCAGCAACCTACAGTACTTCAAGCGGCTCATTCAGATCCCCCAGCTGCCTGAGGTGAGTGCATCTGTTGGGCTCTGCACAGCTCCGGGGCCTGGCAGGTGAGCATCCCTTAAAGTTGTGTCTTGCTTCTCCAGAATCCACCCAACTTCCTCCGAGCCTCAGCCCTGTCAGAGCACATCAGTCCTGTGGTGGTGATCCCAGCAGAGGTGTCGTCACCAGACAGTGAGCCGGTCCTGGAGAAGGATGACCTCATGGACATGGATGCTGCCCAGCAGGTACAGGACCCTTGGGACAGGAACTTGGCCCTTCCAATTGCCCCAAGAACAGACAGTAGGAGAGGCTCTTAGCTTGGATGGGTGTGTCTACTCAGACAAGGTCTGCTCAGCTTTAATGTTTAGACATGTCATCTTTACTATGTTGCCCATACTGGTCTCAAATCCCCAGGCTCTCGACATCCTCTTGTCTCTGCATCTAAGATGGGTGCAACTATACATGTTTGCAGATTGCCTAGCTGGGTCCTCTTTCTCATAAGAAAGTGGAAGATTAGGCTGAGCCCCCTGCACTTGGGCTCCTGGAGTGACCTTAGATAGGTCTCAGCCAAATCAAGAAAATAGAGGTTGTTGGAGCCATGTGTAGTGGTGGCACGAGACTCTAATCATAGTACTTGGGAGGTGGAAGCAGGAAAGGAGCGATTCAAGGTCAACTTCAGTCACAAAGCACGTGATGAGACCCTGTCCCCAAAATACACAGGGCTGGAAAGTTGGCTCAGCCATTAACAGTGCTTGTTGCTTTTGAAGAGGACCTGGGTTTGATTCCCAGCACCTATGGAGTGGCTCACAACCATCTTTAACTCCAGTCCTAAAGGAGTCCACACACTCTTCTGACCTGTGTGAGCGCCAGGAATGCACACAGTGCACAGACATACATGCAGGCTAAAAAGTTGTGTTTAAGCACAACGAAAGAAAGAAAGACGGGAAAGAAGGAGCCAGGCACAGCAGCACACACTTTAATTCCAGTACTCGGGGTAGAAGCAGGGGGATATTTCTAAGAGATTGGGGTTAGCCTGGTCTGTATAAGTGAGCTCCAAACCAGCCAGAGCTACATAGTGTGCCCTGTCTAAGAAATAAAACAGTAAATTGCATGATAACCCTAACCCGCCCTGCACTCACACCCAGTCTCCTAGGTCTCTGACTTGTTCGTTTCCCCCCCCCCAACCTTCCAATCACTGCAGAATTTGTTTGACAACAAGTTTGATGACATCTTCGGCAGCTCGTTGAGCAGTGACCCCTTCAATTTCAACAATCAAAATGGTGTGAACAAGGATGAGAAGTGAGTCCAGGCTGGGTGGAGGAGGAACATGGTTTAGAAATGAAACTTTGTGCTGCCTCGCAGCAGCTGCTCCAAGAGAAAGGAATTCTGTGTGTCTGTGTATGTGTGTATGTGCGTGTGTGTGTGTGTGTGTGTGTGTGTGTGTGTGTGTGTGTTTATGCCAGAAGTCAACCTCTAATGTCATTCCATAGTTGCCCTCCACCTCCTTTGTTTGGTATCTGTGGGTGTGTGTGTGTGTGTGTGTGTGTGTGTGTGTGTGTGTGTGTGTGTGTGTGTGTGTAGCCATGGAAGCCAAAAATAGGTATTCGACCTCTTGGAGCCATGATTACAGTTCTGAGTTACCCAGCGTGGGTCCTGAGAGTTGAAGTCGGGTCTTCTCGAAGAACCCAAGTTAACCACTGAGCAGTATCTTTGGCAAAGCACTTCTTTAAGAAAAAGATATTTTGTTGTTACATTTGTTTTGTGTGATTATGTGTGTGTGTTGTGGGTCAGGGGTGGGGAAATGTGCCAAGATGTACTTGTGGAAGTTTGAGAGCTTCATGGAGTCATTTCTCTCCTTCCACAAACTCAGGGTGTTGGGCTTGGGAGCACTCACTATCACCTACAGAATCATCTCACCCATATTAAGAATCCTTACTACCTGGGCTTTTAAGAAAGAGTTGGGGATGTAGCTCAGTGGTGGAACTCACTTAGCATGCCTAAGGCCTGGGATTCAGTCTCCCAACTATGAAAGGGGCCAGGGCTAAAGAAATGGCTCAATGGCTAAAGGCCCAGCACCCATGTTAAGTGGCTCATTAACTATCTGTAACTAAGGGGGACCCAACATCCTCTTCCAGCCTCCACACATGGGCATATACTAACAGGCAGAGACACACATAACCCCTCTCCAAATATGACCCCCACCTCCATATCCCAGACCAGTAGCTGTGAACCTGTGGGTGTCAGGGTGACATATCTAATGTTTAGGGTACAGTCACCCTAGGTATCAAGGGTTATTGGTTCCAGAGTCACCTCCACAGACACAAAGTTCAGCCACTGTGCCTGACGCCACTGTAATACTATTTTCACAGAACCTACATTCCTCCTCTCTGTGCCCTTTAAATCACCTCTGTGTGACTCATAGCTTGTGGTATAATAGAATCACTGCAGCAGTGTTCATTTCTGTGGGGTCTTTGTTTCTTTTTATACACCTGTAAGTTTTGTGCTGGGAGGGAATGGCCGCATGAGCACTGTGGTATTACTGTGTAAGTCAGGACAGCTTGCAGGAATCAGTTCCCTCCTTCAACCATATGGGTCCCCGGGACCTCGCAAAGATTGCCAGGGTTGATGGCAAGCACCTTTACCCTCTGCGCCATCTCACCAGACCGTTTTTTCTATATTGTTCAGGGAATAATGGCAAGAACAAAAGTTTATACATAGTCAATATAGATGCATTTTTTTCTCCGCAAATATTTTCCATCCCCAGTGAGTTGAATGTACAGATAAAGAACCCACAGTTGAGAAAAGTTGACTGTAAAATTTATCCTGCAAAGAATTATTATTATCCATAGGGCTAGAGATGTGGTTTCATTTGTAGAACCCCTGCCTAGCCAGCAGAGATACCCTGGTACCATGTAAACCAAGTACAGTAGCTAATGTCTATAATTCTAGGGCGGGGGAGAGGAAGAGCAAATCATCCGCCACTGGGTATCTGGTAACAAAATTAAAGTTGTTTTGCTTGTTTGTTTAAGAGAATGGCCCCAAATTAACACCAGCTTCCCCCTCCTTTTCCAGTCAGTCACCTTAAATGGAGGACCGGGTGGGACATAGTGACACCAAGCCTGTTCCTTTCTTCACAGGGACCACTTGATTGAACGGCTGTACAGAGAGATCAGTGGACTGACAGGACAGCTGGACAGCGTGAAGATGGAGGTGTGTGCTCAGACCCTTCCACACTTGGGCTCCACTGGCACGGGGTACTTGGAATTATCCATGTCTCATGATATTAACTGGACCCCATCTGAGGATGGGTTAATTAATAGGAGCAACAAAGCCAGTGGATTTGGTCATCTCAAGGTCTCAATTAGAATTCATTGCCGTGACATGTGACTTTAAGATGACAGTTAAGCGGGGTACCAGCGTCCCTGTGAGCCGTGATTACGGCTTGGCTGTCAGACAGTAATAAGGAAGACTAATTTTTCTCATAAGGTCCTTGAGAAAGCTTGACTTAGGAACTGGGGCCGTAGATCAGTGATAGATAATTTGTCTAAATCTATCAGTGCAGGACTTGGAGTGTGATAGAGCACCTACCTAGAATCACTCAGTAAGGGGTGGATGATATGCCTCAGCCTTAGCGTGCCTGCTCAGAATTTACTAGGCACTGTGATGGCCTTACAAGTATGGCTCAGTTGTAGAGAGCCCCAGGAAGGGACTGGAGGCATGGCTCATTAGTGGAGGGCTTGCCTAGAGTCCCTCAGTCAAGGATTGGGGATGGGGTGGAGGAGTGGCTGAGCAGTAGAGCACCTATCTAGAATCCCCCAGTAAGGGGCTGGGAGTGTGGCTCCGCAGTACAGCTACTGGCCTAACATGAATAAGACTCCCTACCCAGAGCACCAAAACAAAAACAAAAAAAAAGTTCTCTGTCTGGTTGGTTGGATCTGTGGGTCAGGAAATGTGAAGATACAGAGATCAACAACAATTGGTAAGTGCCAGCAAAGAGATAAGTCATTCCTGTCCTGCCTAGTGCCCCAAGGGGCAGCCTCACAGTAGCAGGTTCTTCACCAGCGTGTCCCTCACAGAGCCAGCGGGCCATGCTACAGCTGAAGGGCCGTGTGAGTGAGTTGGAGGCAGAGCTGGCGGAACAACAGCACCTGGGACGACAGGCTACCGATGACTGCGAGTTCCTGCGCACAGAGCTGGATGAGCTGAAGAGGCAGCGAGAGGACACGGAGAAGGCACAGCGCAGCCTGACTGAGATAGAGAGTGAGGGGCTGGGACTGGGGGTGTGGGTCAAGCAGGGCAGGTCGCTGCTACTTCCCACAAAGAAAGCCCTAGGTGTTGGCTCTTTCCCTCAAATGCAGGGGCAGGTTTGGTGCAGCAGGGCCTGCAGCAACCAAGGACACAGTGGTGATGGGAGTTCCTCTCCTGGGAGGGGCAACTTGTACTAGAGCAATAGGATAAAGACCTGACCAGGAAGAGTAAACATAAACCTTAAAGCCCTGCTGACGTGGATGCTGTGATTCTTAGTTAGGGTTTCTATTGCTGTAAAGAGACACCGTGACGATGGCAACTCGAGGAAAACATTTCTAATTGGTGGGACATGGAAAGTTGCCCGCAGACATGCTCTGCTCTAGAGCAGAGCTGAGAGTTAATACATCCTGACTTGCAGGCAACAGGAAGTGCCTGCACAGGAATATCTCACAGGGAATAGCTTGAGCACAGGAGACCTCAAAGCCCACTTCATAGTGACACACTTCCTCCAACAAGGCCACACCTTCTAATGGTGCCACTCCCTTTGAGGACCATTTTCTTTCAAACCACCACACTGTGTTTGTAGGCATCAGTTTACAGAAGAATTTTAATCAGAGGAATGTTTACTTAAAGGAGACAAATTTTATGTCCGGTGTAGTACAGGTGCTTACCTGTAATTCCAGAACTCGGGAGACTGAGGCAGGAGGATGACCATAATGCTAGCTTGGTTTGTGTAGCAAGACCTTGTCTCCCAAAAAAACCTAAATTAATTAGACAACTTCTAGCTGAGTGAAGTGGTGGACACCTGTAGTTCCAGGAGATAGAAGCAGGAGGATCAGAGGTTCAAAGTCATGTTGGCAACATAGCCAGTTTGAGGCCAGCCTGGGTTACATGAGACCATGTCTTTAAAAAAAAAAAAAAAAAGCACTCAGGAGGAAGAGGCAGTGGATCTCTTAGTTCGAGGCCAGCCTAGTCGACAGAGCAAGTTCCAGGACAGCCTGAGCTGTTACACAGAGAAACCCTGTGTCAAAGAGAAAATAAAGATAAAAACATTTAGGGACCCAGCTTATTGGAGGGAGGATGGGGGATCCCAGCCAGGGCAAAGGCCTCACCTTGGTCTTTCACAATGCAGGAAAGGCCCAGGCCAACGAACAGCGGTATAGCAAGCTTAAAGAGAAGTACAGTGAGCTGGTTCAGAACCATGCTGACCTGCTGCGGAAGGTAGGAACTTTGACCCCTCTAGTTCTTCCACATACCTCGCCTCATAGGAGAAACGGTGCAGACCTACTATTTATTCTTCCTCTGTGTGTGTATGTGCACATGTGTGTAGTTGCTTGAGGAGGCCAAAAGAGGGCGTCAGATCCTCTGAAGCTGAAGTCACAGGCAATAGTGACCCACCCGGTATGGGTGCTGGGAAGCAAATCTGGATGCTTTGAAAGACCAGCCAGTGCTCTTAACCACTTAGCCATCCTCCAGCTCTGGCACTCCCATTTCTTAACCCCAACCTATTGCATCTTCTTGAGTTCCGTCTTGTGTGCCAATCACAGTTAGAATTACCCCTCATTTGAGCTGGGCATAAGGGAACACACCTGTAATTTTATCAGAAAGCAGAGGCAGGATCCTCTGTGGAGGCACATGGCTTCAAACCCAGCACTCCAGGGAAGCCAGGACTAAATAGTGAGACCCTGTCTCAAAAAATAAACAAGTCAGAATACTGTCTCACACTTGCAATCCCCAAACTTGGGAAGCAGAGGCAGAAGGATTGCTCTGAGTCTGAGGTTAGCCTGGGGCTGCATAGTGATTTTCAAGCCACCAGACAACCAGACCCTTACCCCGTCTGTGTATTTTTGTAAATACCCAAAAGTCTAACATCTGAAGGTCATGGCTTCATTCTGGCTTCCCTCTGGGTAGGAGAAACCTTCTCCTGTGTCCATCCCCTTAATACTCATTGTCTGCTAGAAGTCATTGGTACTAGAGAGAAGATGGGGGTTGAGTCTGAGAGATGTCAGCTCAGTACGCTCTTCTGCCCTTTCAGAATGCAGAGGTCACCAAACAGGTGTCCGTGGCCAGGCAAGCCCAGGTGGATTTGGAAAGAGAGAAAAAAGAACTAGAAGATTCCTTTGCACGTGTAAGTGACCAGGCCCAGCGGAAGGTGAGCATGAGAGGCACTTGGGATGGAGGAGGGAGGTGTCTATTGGAAGTGGGCTTTTATTAGTGTTATCGTTGTGTGTGTGGATAGATAGATAGATAGATAGATAGATAGATAGATAGATAGATAGATAGATAGATAGATAGATAGATAGATAGATGAGTGTGTACATGTACACATAACAGCATGCATGTCGAAGTCAGAGGGCAGCTTGTGGGTTTAGGGTCTCTTCTTGTACTTTGTGGGTCTAAGGCTTTGAACTCAGATCATCTAGATCAACAGCCACGCACGATGAGCCACGCAGTCATCCCCTGAGCTTTGAGGCAGGCATGGATGAGAGGACCTCATTGTATGTTCCATGTTAGTCATCAATTCTTACTAATGGCTGGCAAACTAATCTTCAAAATTACTGTTGAAAAAGAAAAGTTGTTGCCAAGGTCTGGGTTATCACCGTCTAGCCTGCCTGTTACACCCACACTTGTAACTTAGATCCAGTGGGGTACAGTCTCAATCAATAGCTTGGGAAATGAATATATGTGCGTTCCCTCTCATGACTCCCCAGCTCACAGCGTTCCTGTTTTGCCTCCAATTCAGACTCAAGAGCAACAGGATGTTCTAGAAAACCTGAAGCACGAACTAGCCAGCAGCAGACAAGAGCTGCAGGTCCTCCACAGCAGCCTGGAAACCTCTGCCCAGGTGAGCCACTGTCCTCTCCCTCTGGTGCCTCAGGCCCTCCCATGAGCCCTCTGGCCCCAGTTATAATCTGTACTTACTCTTTGAGGCAGTGATAGGCACATGGACACCTCCTGCCCTTTGGAGCCAGGAGTTGGGTCTGGAGGCCCAGCGAGGGAACCATTTAATTTCCTCAGTTTCTCCCTGTTTCCACTTGGTGACCTCTGCAGTCTGAAGCGAAGTGGCTGACACAGATCGCTGAACTGGAGAAGGAACAGGGCAGCCTGGTAACTGCTGCAGCTCAGAGAGAGGAAGAGTTCTCAGCCCTCCGAGACCAGCTGGAAAGCACGAAGATCAAACTGGCCAGTGCCCAGGCAAGTAACAGACATCCACCGGGACGCCGTGGATGCCAGAGACAGATGTGCCATGAAGGGCTCAAGGCCATTGGGCCTGATGGCCAAGGCTTTCTGTGGACACAGTTCCTAAAGCCAAGTGCCTCTTTGGATAAGCACGGTGTGTGTGGGCCAGGGATGTACCTCAGTGGGCAGAGCACTTGTCCAAGGTGCACTAGGCCCTGGGTTTAGTCTGCAGACCACATCAACTGAGTATGCAGGTGTATACCTGTAATGCCAGCTTTCAGGAAGTGGAGACAGGAGGATCCGGAGTTCAGTTATCCTCAGCTCCTTAATACTGAGTTTGAGGCCAGCCTGAGATACAAGAGGCCCTACCTCATAAAATATGGGCTAGAGAAATGGTTTGGAGGCTCAGTGCCAGAGGATCCGTGCTGGGATCTAGTTATGTCTAGAAATACTCTCAACGACACAGCCAGAGGTGTGCTATATTAATCCAGGCTTCTCTTAATCAAGATGACGATATTAGCAATCCTCAGGTTTGTCACTGGTCCATTATACACACCTGTGAATCAAGATCAGGTGTTTTCTGCATGGAGCTGGCCAGCTTGGATCTCATTAGCGCCACCATGAGAGGCCAGGAATCCCAGTGTGGTCCCAGGCGGATGCTGCTTGTATTTCATTGTGGTGTACCTGGCTGACTCTCGCCTCCCTGGCCTTTTTTCTAGGAATCCATGTGCCAACAGGTAAAGGACCAGAGGAAAATACTCTTGGCAGGGTCCAGGAAGGCTGCGGAGCGTGAGATACAGGAGGCACTGAGCCAGCTTGAAGAGCCTGCTCTCATCAGCTGTGCAGGGTCCACAGGTAGTCTTCTAGATGCCCACCTGCTGGGCCCAGCAGCCTGGTGCTTCCTGTTGGGGTTGAATGCCACAGGAAGCATAGCTCAGGGGTCCTCAGCCCAGCTGCATGCCAGAGCCCCTGGGGTGTGCCCGCTCTCCATTCTAGGCCAGTTAAATCAGAAGCTCTGTGGCATACTGCCTGAGTGGTTGTGACTTTGTAAGCCTGGCAGGTGAGACAGCCACAGCCTCAGCCAGTGTCCTGGTTGTTAACTGTACCACTCTGACCGTAGTGCATGACAGAAATGACTTAAGGAATAAAAGGTTCATTTGACCCACAGTTTCAGAAGGTTCTGGTCTACAGTGAAGAGGAAGGCATGGAAAAGGAAAAGCAGCTCTCTGCGTGGTTGTGAGAACATGTGGTGGAGGTTGTTCATAATCATGGTGTGGACTGAGCAGAAAGCAAGACAGGGAATAGGCAGGAAAAACTGATCCCAAGTCCTGCCTCGGGTGACCTGCTCCCCCCAGTAGACTCCACCTCCTACATTTCCATCGCCCCCTAAAGTAACACCAAAACTGGGAAACCAAGCTTTGGAACATGAACTTATACTCGGGAGGCAGAGGCAGTTCCAGGACAGACAGAGCTATATAGTGAGATCCTGTCTCGATGATATAATAATAATAATAATAATAATAATAATAATAATAATAATAATAATAATAATAATATCAATACACTATTGAAATTATTATCAATAATGGGGACATGGCTCAGTGGGTAGAGTGCTTGCTGTGCTTGCACAAAGCCCTGGGTTCTAGTTCTAGTACCATATGTCTGATGGTATATGCCTATAATCCCAGCACTTTGGGGAAGGAGGCAGGAAGGTCAGAAGTTCAAGGCCATCCCTGGCTACTTGGTGACTTCAAGGCCAGCCTGGGTTACCTGAGACCCCATCTCGAAAGAAAGGAAAGAAAGAAAGAAAGAAAGAAAGAAAGAAAGAAAGAAAGAAATGTAAATAGATTATGTCCATCACATTAGCATGAGCACAGCCCGCAGCTCTCCCTCTATCTAAGGAAAAGCCCCTGGGGCAGGGACTCAATGGGACACCCGCTCACTCAGCTGCTTATGTAGAGCAAATTGTGAGAACTCTTGTTCAGATGTTGCCATGTCTTCCCTCAGATCACCTTCTCTCCAAAGTCAAGGCTGTTTCCAGCTGCCTTGAGCAACTGGAAAAGAGCTGCAGCCAGTATCTGGCCTGTCCAGAAGGTAAGAGGAACAGAGAACATGGGCTCTGTCACTAAGGGCAACCAGGCCAGGTTCAAATATGTACAAAGGGGACTGAAGAGATGGCCAAGGGGTACTCCCTCTTGCAGAGAACCCAGGTTCTGTTCTGCACCCACCTCACCTCAGCTGCTCACAGCTGCTTGAAACCCCAGCTCCAAGGGATTTGCCGCCCTCTTCTGGCCTCTGGGGGTAACTGCATTCAGGAGCCTATAGCCCCATGCCACCATTGGGACTGAGAGTTTACTTCCCTTCCCTGTAGATATCAGTGAGCTTCTACACTCAATAACCCTGCTTGCCAACTTGACCAGTGACACCATCATTCAGGGGAGTGCCACCAGCCTCCGGGCCCCACCAGAGCCAGCTGACTGTGAGTATCAGTGGAGGGGATACCCCTGAGAGCAAGGAAAACAGGAGGCATTTAGACATCTCTCTCAGCCGGGCAGTGGTGGCACGTGCCTTTAGTCCCAGCACAAGGGAGGCAAAGGCAGGCCAATCTCTGTGAGTTTGAGGCCAGCCTGGTATACAGAGCGAGTTCAGGACAACCTCTAAAGCCACAGAGAAACCCTGTCTCAAAAAACCAAATAAAATAAAATAAACATCTCTCTCCTGTCTTCAGCTCTGACAGAGGCCTGTAGGCAGTATGGCAAGGAAACCCTAGCCTATCTGTTCTCCCTGGAGGAAGAGGAAGCCATGGAGAAAGCTGACAGCACAGCCATGAAGAACTGCCTCCGCAAGATTGAGGCCATTGGTGAGGTATGGTTAGTGCCATGATTTGCTTCTTGTTATTGTTTAGTTGTCTGAGACAAGGTGTCATGTAGCCCAGGCTGGCCTCAAATTCTATGTAGCCAAGGATGACCCTGAACTCCTCTCTTCTTGCCTCCGTCTCCTGGGTACAGGCCTAGACCACTGTATCTCCTTTATGTGGCCCTGGGAATGGAACTCAGGACTTCAAGCCTGCTAGACAAGCACTGTGCTAATTCAGCCACATCCCCAACCCTGTTTGCTTTTCTGTTTGTCTATGAGATGGTCTGGTATAGACCAGCCTAGCCTAGAACTTATCACGTATCCAAGAATAACCTGGAATGGCTGATTCTCCCACACCCACCTGCCATGTACTAGGATTGCAGGCACACACACCACCATGCCTGTCCATGGAGATGTAGTGTGTGTGTTGGGTATCCACAAAATAACTTTGGCTGGGACTGGGGAGACGGCTCACTGGATCAAGTAATTGCCTAAAATGCATGAGATCATGAGTTCAATCTGCAGAGCCCATATTAAAAAGGGAAAAGAGAAATGGCTGAGCATGCTGGTACAGACTTGGAACCCACATGGCTGGACAGTCAGAGGCAGACTCCTAGGGCTCTCCAGCCAGGCAACCTGGCCTACTTGGTAAAATCACCAGCCAGTGAAGAGTAAGTAAGTAAGTCTTGGGTAAAAAGATGGATGGTTCCTGAGAAACGACACCTGAAGTTGGCCTCTGGGCTCCATACACACATGGACATGCACATCTGCACACACACGTGGCCATGCACACACGAAGAATTTGCATTAGGTATTCTTGGAAGTACAAAAATGCATGAATTCTTCAAGAAAGAAAATTGAAAGCAGCTGTTTCTATTCAGTGCACTATAGCCAAAGCAGAGATCTATTTTAGTAGTAAGATGACTGGGCATGGTGATGACTGTCTATGCCAGCACTTGGGATGCTGAGGCAGAAGGATCAGGAATTCAATGCCAGTAAGGGCTGTGTGGAGAGTTTAAGGCTAACCCAGGCTTCATGAGACCCTGTTGTTGTTGTTGTTGTTGTTGTTGTTGTTTTAAAAAAATATGTGGTGGCACACACCTTTAATCTCAGCACTTGGGAGGCAGAAGCAGATGGATCTCTGAGTTCAAGGCTGGCCTGGTCTACAAAGTGAGTTCCAGGACAGCTAGAGCTACACAGAGAAACCCTGTCTCAGGAAAAATAAAGGGTGAGGGGGGACAGGTGTTGTAGCTCACTCTCTTAATCTCAATGCTCAACATCAGAGGCAGGTGGGTTTGAGGCCAGTCTCATCTACATAGTGAAACCCTGTCTCAAAGACAAACCCTCCCATTAGTAAATACAGTTGATATCTGTATCTATGATGTTAGGGCCTATATTAGTCTATTTTCTTGTTGCCGTTACAAATACCTGACAAAGAGCTGGAGAGATGGCTAAATGGTTAAGAGCACTGGCTGTTCTTCCAGAGGACCTGAGTTCAATTCCCAGCACTTACATGGTGGCTCACAACCATCTGCAATGTCCTCTTCTGGCATGCAGGCATACTACAGGCAGAATGTTATATATATAAAATAGCTAAATAAATCTTTTTTTCCAAGAAATTATTTTTTATTAGTTCAAATTAGAAACAAGCCTGCTTCACATGTCCATCCCTGCTCCATCTCCTCCACTCCCCACCAGTCCCCACCCCATCCACCCTCTGCTCCCCAGGGAGGGTAAGGCACTCCATGGGGGATCCCCAAAGTCTGTCATACTATCCTGGGCAGGGCCTAGGCCCTCCCCCATGTGTCCAGGCTGAGAGAGCATCCCTCCATATGGGATGGAAAAAACTTCACAAAAGCAGCTATAGGATGAGTTTGTTTATTTTGGCTCTCATTTTGAGGCTTTGTTGGAGAAGGTGTGGTAGCAGAGCATAAGGCAGCTACCCACATTGCATCCACCATCAGGAAACAGAGAGATGGATGCTGGTGCTCAGCTCTGTTTCTTCTTTTTATTCAGTCCAAACCCAAAGCCATGGGATGGTACCACTCACATTCAAGTGGGTCTTCCCAATCTAGAAACTCCCTCACAGACATGCCCAGAGGTCTGTTTCCATGGTGATCCTAAGTCCCATCAAGTTGACAATCAAGGTTAACAGTAACTGTAGCTGAGTGGCTCTGTAGGGTTGGGGACTGGTGGCCTCCCAGCTGGATGTGGTTTTGAGATGTGCAGAGAAGGGAGGAACATGATGATCCATATTGTTTTGTTTTGCTCTTCGGGGAACCAGCCATCCAGCTCCCAAATAATCACATTGAAACTTATTCTTATTTATAAATAACTAGCCTTAGCATGGCTTGTTTCTAGACAGCTTTTCTTAAATTATCCCATCTACCTTTTGCCTCTGGACTTTTTATATACCATTCTTTCTTTCTTAAATTTTTTTTTCTGAGTCAGCATTTCTCTGTGTAGCTTTGGAGCCTGTTCTGGCACTCACTTTGTAGACCAGGCTGGCCTCGACTCACAGAGATCCGCCTGCCTCTGCCTCCCGAGTGCTAGGATTAAAGGCATGGTCCACCACCGCCCGGCTTCCATTCTTTCTTTCTTATTCCATTGCTGTGTAACTAGCTGCCTGGCCCCAGATTTCTCCTATTTATTCTCTCTGCCTGCCATCCCCACCTAGCCTTCCTCCTGCCTTGCTATTGGCTGTTCAGCTCTTTATTAGACCAGTCAGGTGTTTTAGACAGGCAAAGTAACACAGCTTCACAGAGTTAAACAAATGCAACATAAAAAGATGCAACACGTCTTTGCATCATTAAACAAATGTTTTACAGCATAAAAGAATGTAACACATCTTTAATTGATAATCTGCAACATTCATATCATGGAAAGTTCCAGGTGGAGTCTGTGACAGACCCTGCCTTCCATGCCTTATAGATGGGTCCCATGAAAGGGCCAAAAGAAAGCAAAGAAAATGCCAAGTGTCCTTCTAACCATTGCAATTCTGCTTGTAGGAACTGCTGCCAAGAGGTCTAGACATAAAACAAGAAGAGCTGGGTGACCTTGTGGACAAGGAGATGGCTGCCACTTCAGCTGCCATTGAAGCTGCCACCAACCGGATAGAGGTGAGTGTTATTCTTTTGTTTAAAAAGAAGAAAAGAGAAATTGCTGAGACAGACATATTGACTATAAGTTTATTATAAGGCCCAG